AGTTCAACCATATTTCATAAACGATTGGATAGACGGTTACGTACGAATGGTTACATCAGTAGACCAATAATAATAATAGTAATTATAATTATTATCTTTAATCATCACCATCTTTAATCATCATCATCTTTATTATTATTATTAAAAAAAAAGGGAAAGCAGATGGGGAAACCCCCCTCCACGTCAACCCCAACCCAAATAATTCCCCTTCCCTCTTGATTCCAATTAACCCAACCCTGTAAAACTCCAAGGATCCAATTATTTCCCCTCATCCAATTTTGTACACGCCATCATTATCATTAAAGAGTGAATGTGCTTCACTATTGGGATCACGGTAGGTGGGAGAGGAAGTGAGTTACGGGAATAATAAAGAGCAAGGAGGCCATGTTCAATGTATACAATTATATGGCCAAGAGCAGAGGGAGATTGATGCCACTCGACCCCAACTCAACTCTCCCTGCCCGCCGCCATTGTCGGTGCTATCTACATTAAGTTGAAGTTCCCCATCCTTTCACTAACGACCCAACTCTTCTCCCGACCATTTCCTCCCACGCATCACCGGCCGATTGTTCTTCAAAGTGACATCGTCACTTCATCCATCTCCCCACGTGACCTTGGTCATCACCATCTGACTCTCCGGGTTCCCCAGCAAGCAGCAGCTCTTCTGTTAGGTCAAACAAGAACTGTCGTCCGTCCGTCACCCCGACTTCCTCTCGTTTTCACACAAGCCGCAACACGTCTCGACCGCCGACCAAGAGCACGACCCTCCTTGGTACCACCTTCTGTTGACAAGCCAACACGATCCGGGTTCGGTAAGAATCTTGAGTCCAAGTATCCTTCATACTCGAGTTATGTTATAGCTAACCAACTCGCCCACGTATTAAACCATAGCTTTGCGACAAGACGCCGGGGACATGAACAACGATCGACGAGGAGGAACGACGTCCAGAATAATTTAATCCAGTTTTTGGGTCTACCTAAAGGTAATGCATCCGACTCTGGAAGATTAATTCGAATTATTAATGTATATGCAAGTTCTGGGTTTTAGCAACGAAACTTACAGTCTTTTAGTGACAAAGACGACCGTCGCTAAAGACTGATGTGCAAATTCCCAGACCAGTCCCTCAAGTGTTCAGTATGAACAGTTTAGTCCCTCTGAGTTTTAAATTTTGATAATTTGGCCCGAAAATCGTAATTTTCATGGTTATGTTAATTTCCGACACTTTTTCGTGGGTATTTTCATTAGTTGATAATTTTATAAATTTGAAATTAATTGTATGATGCTCGTGTATAAATTTTAGAATTTTTGGATCTGTATTTGTATTTATAAAAATTGAACGAATGTTGGTTTTAATTAATTAAAATACTGTACGACGTCTTTTTGGTGATTTGATAATTTTCCATGAATTTAGGATTATTTATTGATGTTATAAAATTATGAATTAGAATTATTAGTTTTCGTGACTCGGTTTAAAAATTATATATATGATTAATTTTAATAGGAAAAAGAGGTTATTTAAAAGAGGGGCTTATGTTTATTAATTGGGATTAATGATTTGAGTTAACCAAGGTCAGAATGTGGAGTTTTAAGTGGAAAATATATTTTGAGAAGTTTATGAGAATTGTATGAGAATTATTTTAAGAAATATTGAATTGCTTGAGATGAATTAATTCTTGATTAAAGAGGTTGAAAAGTTTAGTTTTGAAGAAATGATTTAAAAGAGATTGAGGGGCATTTTTATAGGATTTTGGGACTAAGTAATCAATGAGTGAAATTTTTCCCAATACGCCAAAGTGACTAAAATATTATGATTACCGACTAAGGGAAGATATTTCGGTTTATAGGATTAAGGGAGCAATCAGATTAAAGATTTCACGTCAAGGGAACTAAGAATCGTCATTTGAGAGGTGAGTGGTTTAAGGGGGTAAATTCTACGCCTTACATATTTTCAAGTATCTGACTTACGAGTTTTAAGTGTGTGTGTTTTTATGTGAATTGTATGCCAGTGATTGATTTATGTCGTGATTGATAAATCATGTTTTATTTGAGATATTACCTGAGATGCTCTATTTGAGTTATGATTGTGAAGTATATGATTATTTGAGCTTTCATTATTTACTTGAATCTTTTATCTTATGTTCATTTAATGAAGGTTGTTTGATCTTTAAGGATTAACTTTTAATAGGTGTCTCACTCCTAATTAAATTAGGGTGAAAAGATTTAAAAGTAGTTCACTAACGCCAGTCCCCCGCCCCAATGAAAGTTTAAAGGAAGAGCGAGTTTGCTCTTAAGGAACATGTGGATGAATCACTTAGACATCACTTGAAGTTTAAAGGAAGAGTATGATATACTCTTAAGGTTTATGGGGTTGAATCGATTACTCCCATAAACAGGTTTAAGGAAAGGCCTATGTTGGCCCTCATACGTATGAGCTGGGCGGCTGGACTAGTTAGTGAGGGGATCCCAGTGTCAGTCAAAGGTTTAAGATTTTTGAGGGTGGCGAGTAACAACAACTCCCACGTTTTTAAGGGTTAAAGTTTAAAGGGTGGAAGTATAAATAACTTCCACGGGTTTTTGAGGTGAACACTTAAGGGAATACCCGTAAGTGCTTCAAGTTTAAGTAATGGCATAGACTGACCCCAACCCACTCACCAGGTCGTAGAGGAGGGGCTAGGGAGCATCCAGTCGAGGAGCATCCAGTGAGAGAGCAGGCTACCCGAGGAGGACCACGTGAGCACTTCTGAAGATGTCTGACCACGGATCGGAGTAAGCCGCATTTGTATCTTTAGTTATTTGATTTATGATTATGAGTAATGACTGGAGATTTAAAAGGATAAGACTTTATGGATTGAGGTTTGCCCAAATGTTAGGGCTTTGCTTTTAAATTATAAGGTGTATTTTCAGTATTGGTATTTCGAGCACATTATTGTTTCTTTCTTTCAAAATTTTAAATATGCTCCGGAGCAAAATTGTTATTTAAGTGTTTTAGAAATCGGGATGTGACATTTTGGTATCAGAGCTGGTTTTCTTCTGTTCCTTGGTCTCCAAGGAATACTGGAATATCGGTCGTAGTTTTAAAGGCTTATGTTTTAAAGGAAAAGAAAAAAACGTGTTTTAAAGGTTTGGCCAAACGAGTCAAGGATTTCTTTTAAGGATTTATAAAATCTCAAGTCTACTCTAATCGTATTGAAAAAAAATAACTCGATTACTAAAAGGGCCTTACTTATATGCAGAGCTAGTAATGCCCACGTCAACCTTCCACCACCACCGCAACCTAGGCGTCCACCGGATTATGATACGTTCCGGAAGAGGAAGGTTGAGGATTTCTACGGCGATCGTTCGACAGATCCCATGGAGATTGATTTGTGGCTGTCAAAAGTCACTCGCACTTTACAGGAGATGCGAGCAGATGACGAGGAAAAAGTGTTGCTGACAGTGTCCCTACTGCAGGGTGCTGCTTACAACTGGTGGGCTACACTGCCAGCCAGTCGGGAGCATCCACCAGCCATCATTTGGCCAGGTTTTGTGCAACTGTTCAAAGACCACTACATACCAATGTCCTATCGGACCAAGCAGCAGAGGTGACTCGCTACGACACAACACCTAACAAAGGCCAAGTGTAACCAATGAAAGGGACTGCAGTATAGTGGCTCAAGTGAAAAATAACGAATCCACGGGTCTCTAGAGTTACTATTACTCAGCTTCAGTTTATTATTTAGCAAATCAGATTAAGATGAAAGAACTAAAACTACTCTAGCAAACTACAGTTAAAGTTAATCTAATTACAGGTTGGGAACTCACTTAGGTATGATTCCCCCTAGCCACTAGCCAGATTAATGATTGATGATCTCTAACCTGTTTCACTTTCATTCACAATGCGGAGAATCCTTGACTAGACCTTGAGTCTCGACTAAAGGAACAAGGCCCTCTTGAGTCAATTGCCTAGAGGGACGTATCCTTCTCTAGAACAACTGATCAAGGCATTCTGAACTAGACTCCCTCTATCGAAAGAGGTTCTCAATCGATACAAAGCAGTGAATCAACCCTTGACTAAAGCAATCGATCCACTACTATCAATCTATGGTGCTCTATTGACCTAATCATGTATTCCCTCTCATAGGATCAAAGCAGAATCAATAATCTCGACTAAAGCAGAATTGAATCATGAAAACATGCATAGATTGAATATGAACTCAAGATTATCAAGTCAGAGTACTCATACAATCATCCAATCAAACAAACATAGCTAGGGTTCCTCAAAACCTAAGTGAAGGGAAGTTACTCCATAGAGAAGAGAGAGACTGCAGTAAGAATCTTCAGATGATCAGTCTTCAAGTCCGGGCTTGTTCCTCAAGCTTCCAAGGCGAAGAAATCCTCCTTCTCTACTCCAAGAATGCCCTCAAATCGCCCTCTCTCTCTTTGGTTCGTCCCTTGGGTTTTTGGGATCCAAAAACCCAGCTCTCCTCCTCTTTGGTTCGGAATTTGGCTTAAAACCAGGAAATCCCGACTCACATGGGCATGGCCACACGGCCGTGTGGCCTACCCAGTTGCCCGTGTGAGGCAAAACGCACCGTATCACTTAGTCGAATTCCAGGCTTCTTACACGGCCAGAGTGGCACGGCCGTGTGTGACTTCCATCTGCCCGTGTTTGCTCTCGGCAAAACTCGCACGGCCAAGCCACCCCTTCACACGGCCGTGTGTGTTGTCAGGGCAGGCCGTGTTTGCTCTCGCACAATCTCACACGGCCAGAAATATGAGTTGCACGGCCGTGTGATTTGTGGGTGTGCCCGTGTGGCCTCCTTTGTGACTTGCCTCGCGCCCGATCTTCGCCCAATCGACCTCGAGCTCGCTCCTAAACCTTCATTCACTTGCCAGGACCTGAAATATCACAAACAAGCACATCCTAGCGTGAAATCGGTCTAAAACACGAGAAACCACATCTCAAACGGTGTAAGAACAGGGGTAAAAACATGTGTAATTAACGGTCTATCAAACTCCCCCACACTTAACCGTTTTCTTGTCCCCAAGCAAACCTAACTCAAACCAATGCAGCTCTCCAGACCTCTATAGCAACAAACAACCCAGATCGTAGGTAGAGGACTTCCTAGATCATTTAGCAACTTACGAGGTCAACCAACGCACAAGTCATCTCATAGCTTCTTCGGCGAGAGCACTAGTATCGAGTCGGCATCATGGCAAATAGTGAACAGAGGACAAATGAATTGTGGATGAAGAGATTCTCAAAAACAAAAGATCATGGACTCACATTTTTCAAGGTGCTCTCTTTTTTTCTTCTTGAAGATGGTTCGAACCCCTTTTCTTTCTGTTTTGCTTGTTTTCTGTTATTTTTTCTTTTCTTCTTTTTTTTTCCAAGGTTCCCAACCTGCTCTTACCGGCCATGCCAGGAGCGGATGTCTCAAGCCTCGTGCGGGGGAAAGACATGTAAGGGGGCTGGAGGTAGTAGGTGGAAATTGGGAACGGATTCCCGTCTCCCCTTACACACTTTCGCCCTATTCGCACGGGAGACGTTATTTTGAAGCGGATTTTCGAGCACCTGTTAAACTTAAAATATGATACAAGAGTCCATGACAGGCAGAGAATCCACAACACCACACAATTCAAGGGTCCTAAGATTACTAATTCACTCAATCAACCAACACAATATGAAGAAGAAATGAGATTTCCTAAATGCATCAACATCCTCCATAGTGCTACACCACCTCCCTAGGTTGCATATTACTATAGAGACTGTCAATTCAAAGCATACTGAGCAGGCAATTGCAAGGAACACGTACTTGGAGCCCTCAAATTTAAAAATTTGGACAGTGGACTAGGCTCCAAGCACACAAACAACCAAACATTCACCCGCATACATAATCGAACATCCCCCCACACTTAAGCACGACATTGTCCTCAATGGAGCAAAGATAAGGAGGGTAGAACGAAGTTACCAGATCAAGGGTGAATGATGATGAACGGGTCAGGCGGTGCCATCCAGAAAGAGAGAGTAATCAGAACACAAACACCACACAAAATCTCACAAAGGTTGAGTTATTGACTCTAAAATCAAATAGCAAAACTGACTCAACCGAGGAGAAATAGAGACAGAAATGCAAACCGACTGGTTGGGTTGCCTCCCAACAAGCGCTTCTTTCACGTCGTGAGCCGGACGATGGATCCTAAGTTTCGGTCCATGCTAGAACCTCCTTGAAGTTGAGGTTCTCGTCGATGAGGTGGAGTCTCAAGTCACGAGCATGTGGTGTGGCAGGTGATGAAGGCTCATGTACTTGATGCAGATGAAGTCTCCACCCTCGAGACCTGTCCTTCTCTTCTCTCGTCTCATTGCCCCAAACCAGATATGACAGCATCGATTGGCCACCATCGCGTCCACCAAGAGGGACCGATGTCGAGGTGGCCTTGGTCTGGCAAAGAGACACTGCAAATGGGTCCTTGCTAAGCAGTTCCTCGAAGTTTGGTGGAGATATCACATGTAACTCATGGCCGGTGCAGGCCTCTTCCACCTTAACTCCGTCCTCAGCCTGGACGCCAATTTCTTCTTCGACCCCCCTTTCTTCTTCATGTGGTATCACCCCTGGGAAATGATCAAGAACTCCTCCTGCTTCACTTTCGTCATCCTCCACAACTTCTTTCTGCACCCTTTGTTGCTCTTCTTCTTCTAGCACGGATTGGAGAGCAAGTTGCCAAGCAATTTCTTTCATGAGATCTTCTTGCAGCTCCTCACTCATGCCCGCCTCTTCAAAGCGCAGTTTGGGGTGTGGGAAGGTGTGGTCGGCTACGACAGGACACTCCTGATCATGATCATCACGGGAGCTCTCCGTGACAACTTCAGTGTGCTCCACAATGTCCTTGTAGCCTTCTTCTTCCTCCTCCTCTTCTTGTATGGTAGCAGAAGGGTGATCTGGAGCAGGCTGTGCCCAAGATCGCTCAAGATCATCGACGCTCTTCTTAAGGCTCAGGAGGATCTCCTCTGTTTCACGATAGGCCTGGACACAATGATCCATCCTGGAGCATGTTCTATCACAGTCTCGAGCAAACTGCTCCATGAGAAGTCTCAATTCATAGTGTGGATCTGGCTGTGGAGTGTAGCATGGCTCTGCAGAATGGCCCGTGAAGGCCGCCATGGGTAACTCCAGCTCCAATGGCCCCTCTGGTTGTGGGAAAAATTCTTCTTGGTAATGAGGTTGTTCTTGATATGCCCAGGGATCCGGTTGTTCTCCGTAGTAAGGGGGTTGGTACTGGAACCCGAATCCATAGTCTTCTCTTCCTTGATTGCTCCAGGGAGTCTTGGGGTAATACCACTCAGGTGGTGGTGGATACCCCCAATGATTGGAGAAGCCATTAGGATCCATGATTCAGATCTGCACCAACAAAAACAAAAACACCCAAGTGAAAAGCAAGGGTGGAAAAGAAAAGAAAAATGCTAAAGTAACAAACTTCTGCCTTTCCTAATACTCTAGAAAGTCCCCGGCAACGGCGCCAAAAAACTTGATGCTCTAAAACACAACACCTAACAAAGGCCAAGTGTAACCAATGAAAGGGACTGCAGTATAGTGGCTCAAGTGAAAAATATCGAATCCACGGGTCTCTAGAGTTACTATTACTCAGCTTCAGTTTATTATTTAGCAAATCAGATTAAGATGAAAGAACTAAAACTACTCTAGCAAACTACAGTTAAAGTTAATCTAATTACAGGTTGGGAACTCACTTAGGTATGATTCCCCCTAGCCACTAGCCAGATTAATGATTGATGATCTCTAACCTGTTTCACTTTCATTCACAATGCGGAGAATCCTTGACTAGACCTTGAGTCTCGACTAAAGGAACAAGGCCCTCTTGAGTCAATTGCCTAGAGGGACGTATCCTTCTCTAGAACAACTGATCAAGGCGTTCTGAACTAGACTCCCTCTATCGAAAGAGGTTCTCAATCGATACAAAGCAGTGAATCAACCCTTGACTAAAGCAATCGATCCACTACTATCAATCTATGGTGCTCTATTGACCTAATCAGGTATTCCCTCTCATAGGATCAAAGCAGAATCAATAATCTCGACTAAAGCAGAATTGAATCATGAAAACATGCATAGATTGAATATGAACTCAAGATTATCAAGTCAGAGTACTCATACAATCATCCAATCAAACAAACATAGCTAGGGTTCCTCAAAACCTAAGTGAAGGGAAGTTACTCCATAGAGAAGAGAGAGACTGCAGTAAGAATCTTCAGATGATCAGTCTTCAAGTCCGGGCTTGTTCCTCAAGCTTCCAAGGTGAAGAAATCCTCCTTCTCTACTCCAAGAATGCCCTCAAATCGCCCTCTCTCTCTTTGGTTCGTCCCTTGGGTGTTTGGGTTCCAAAAACCCAGCTCTCCTCCTCTTTGGTTCGGAATTTGGCTTAAAACCAGGAAATCCCGACTCACACGGGCAGGGCCACAAGGCTGTGTGGCCTACCCAGTTGCCCGTGTGAGGCAAAACGCACCGTATCACTTAGTCGAATTCCAGGCTTCTTGCACGGCCAGAGTGGCACGGCCGTGTGTGACTTCCATCTGCCCGTGTTTGCTCTCGGCAAAACTCGCACGGCCAAGCCACCCCTTCACACGGCCGTGTGTGTTGTCAGGGCAGGCCGTGTTTGTTCTCGCACAATCTCACACGGCCAGAAATATGAGTTGCACGGCCGTGTGATTTGTGGGTGTGCCCGTGTGGCCTCCTTTGTGACTTGCCTCGCGCCCGATCTTCGCCCAATCGACCCCGAGCTCACTCCTAAACCTTCATTCACTTGCCAGGACCTGAAATATCACAAACAAGCACAACCTAGCGTGAAATCGGTCTAAAACACGAGAAACCACATCTCAAACGGTGTAAGAACAGGGGTAAAAACATGTGTAATTAACGGTCTATCAAGAGGGAATTCCTTATGATCAGGCAAAAGTGGGGAAGTGAAAAAAGAGAGACAGTGGCGGAGTACACATCTCGGTTTGATAAACTTCTCCCTTATGGCGGGCCACAGTTCCAGGATGCTGGGATTCAACGCAGTCACTACCTAGAGAGCCTGAAGCCTACCCTTAGGAGGGACCTGAGCGCACATGTATGGAACAGTAGAGAGGAGATTTATCAGGTAGCCCTCCGAGTGGAGAGGGTAGAACAGAGCTTGTACGAAGAAAGGGTACAACGAGATGGTCATAAGAGAAAGGCTATGAGCTTCACAGAGGGACCGAGCCAGATGAGTCAGACCAGGTTGAGGCCGAATGGTCCACCTAGTTATGGAGGCACTCAAAGTCGGGCTGGTTCGACTAAGCCGGGTCCGACTTATAGTAACAGGGGTCCTTGCAACCAGTGTGGGAAGATTCATCCAGGAGAATGCAAACTACACTTAGGGGTCTGTTTCCACTGCTACGAGCCAGGCCATTTCGCCAGAGAATTCCCTAAGAAGGGAGGGCAAGGGAGGACTCAGTCTGAACAGTCTGTTCGTGGCGGAGGAGGCAAAACTCACATCGGGTACCAGTTTGGCAATCAGCCAAACCGATCTTTCAACAACAATGGAGGAAATGTTGGGCGGTCCATCCGTAATGATAGGGGCCAGGGGTCTCAAGCAGCTGGGCAACCAAGGATCTTTGCCATGAGGAGAGAAGAGGCTGATGCTGCACCTGAAGTGGTGACGGGTATGATTACTCTTTACAGACATTCAGCTTTTGTGCTCATTGATTCTGGTTCTACTCATTCATTTATCTCTACAAAGTTTGCTAGAAACTTAAGAATGCCATCAGTGAAGTTGGGTCAGAACTTAGGAGTGAGAACCCCAGTAGGGGATACGTTGATAGTGGATTCCGTCATTAGGAATTGCACTATCATAGTGGCTGGTTACGAGTTCGAAGCAAATATGATCATACTACCGTTTGACGAGTTTGACGTCATACTGGGTATGGATTGGTTGTCCAAGAACCGAGCAAGGGTGGATTGTTACAAGAAGGGGGTTAGCCTTGAAATTGAGGGCAAGGGCACGACATTATTCAAGGGTACCAGAAAGCTGATTCCGGGAGGCTTAATCTCTGCAGTGAAGGCCTTCTCGTTGATCCAAAAAGGGTGTGAAGCCTACTTGGCCCATGTCAAGGAGGTGCAAGAAAATAAGGTAGAGGACGTGCCTATTGTAAGAGAATACCCTGAGGTATTCCCCGAAGATCTTCCTGGGTTACCGCCGCAACGGGAGGTGGAGTTTGATATTGAAGTGGTTCCTGGTACTGCACCAATATCCATTCCTCCATACCGCATGGAACCAGTGGAGTTGAAGGAGCTGAAGGAGCAGTTAGAAGAGCTGTTGGAGAAGGGTTTCATCCGCCCTAGCGTACACCGTGGGGAGCACCAGTGTTGTTTGTGAAGAAGAAGGATGGCAGTATGAGACTGTGCATCGACTATAGAAAGTTGAACAAGGAAACCATCAAGAATCGTTATCCTCTGCCAAGGATAGACGATCTCTTCGACCAGTTACAAGGAGCAAGAGTGTTCTCAAAAATTGATCTGAGGTCTGGATATCATCAATTGAGGGTAGCAGATGGCTCCATACCTAAGAATGCATTTCGCACACGATATGGCCACTACGAGTTCTTGGTCATGCCGTTCGGTTTGACTAATGCACCGGCAGCTTTCATGGCTTTGATGAACCGAGTTCTTCATGAATATCTAGATAAGTTTGTCATCGTCTTCATTGATGACATTCTCATCTACTCTAAGAGCGAGAAAGATCATGAAGAGCACTTAAGGGTGGTGTTACAGAAACTGAAGGAGGAAGAGTTGTATGCCAAGTTCTCTAAATGCGATTTCTGGCTAGAAGAAGTCCTATTTTTGGGGCATATGATCTCTGGTTGTGGAGTTGAAGTGGATCCCAAGAAGATTGAAGCCGTGACGAACTGGATTCCACCAAAGAACGTTTCTGAAGTACGGAGTTTTCTGGGTTTAGCTGGGTACTACCGAAGATTTGTAGAAGGCTTCTCCAGTATTGCGAGACCCATGACTCAATTGTTGCAGAAGGGGAAGGCATTTGTATGGGACGAGAAGTGTCAAGCTGCATTCGAGTTGCTGAAGAAGAAGTTGACGTCTGCACCAGTGTTGGCACTACCAACCAGCGGAGGGGAGTATTCCATCTATAGTGATGCTTCCTATCAAGGGTTGGGTTGCGTGTTGATGCAAGATAAGAAGGTGATTGCGTATGCTTCGAGGCAACTACGACCCCACGAGGTGAACTACCCCACCCATGACTTAGAGTTGGCAGCAGTGGTCTTCGCTTTGAAGCTATGGAGGCACTATATCTACGGCGAGACTTTTACCATCTTTACTGATCACAAAAGTCTCCAACACTTAACTGATCAGAAGGAGTTGAACATGAGACAGAGGAGGTGGATGGAGTTGTTAAGCGATTACGATTGTACTATTAAGTACCATCCAGGAAAGGCAAACGTGGTAGCTGATGCCTTAAGTAGGAAGAGGGAAAGTCCTTTATCGGAATTGGTCTCTTTGAGGGCCATGAACGTGGAATTGGAGTTAGAGGAGGTGACGAAGCTGTTAGCAACCTTGAAAGTTCGCCCTATGTTACAGGAACAGATTAAGGAGAAGCAGGATGAAGATACAGAACTGGAGAAGTACAAGAAACAGATGCTAGCAGGGAAGGACACCAAATTAGAACTAGTAGATGGTGTACTGATGTATCAAGGAAGATTATGTGTACCGGATGTCGACAAGTTGAGAAAGGACATTCTAGACGAGGCCCACTCTGCACCTTATGCGATACACCCTGGTGCCACAAAAATGTATCGTACCCTCAAGGAGCATTTTTGGTGGCCAGGATTGAAGAAGGATGTAGCAGCACATGTTTATCAGTGCTTGGAGTGTCAAATGATTAAGGCTGAACATCAAGCTCCGGTCATTGAACACTTACCGCTAGAAATTCCACAATGGACTTGGGAGAAGATCACTATGGACTTTGTGTATGGCTTGCCGAGGACCCCGAAGGGAAATGACGGAGTATGGGTAATTGTAGACCGATTCTCAAAGGTGGCTCATTTTATACCAATCAAGTTCAAGCCAGGGCTGGAAGAACTGGCTAGACTGTATGTGAGAGAGATAGTAAGGCTACATGGAGTTCCACTTAGCATCGTGTCGGATCGTGATCCTAGCTTCACAGCACGATTTTGGGTAAGTCTTCAGAAGGCTATGGGCACTAAGGTGCATTTCTCTACTGCATATCACCCCCAGACTGATGGACAGTCAGAGAGGACCATACAAACGTTGGAAGACCTGCTGAGGGCGTGTGTCTTGACGATGGATGGAGCTTGGGACGAGCATTTGCCCCTAATGGAGTTTGCTTACAACAACCAGTATCACAGCTCGATACAAGCAGCTCCATATGAGGTATTGTATGGGAGAAAATGTCGCACACCACTATACTGGGATGCAGAAGGAATGCGAAAACTAGAGGGTCCGGATATGGTACAGAAGGCAGTGGAAAAGGTGGAGGCGATTCGTCGAAACTTGAAGGTGGCCCAGGACCGGCAGAAAAGTAATGCTCAGAGGCTAGGAAACCCACGCAGTCATGAAGTGGGTGATATGGTATTTCTGAGGGTGTCTCCTTGGAAGGGAGTAATGAGATTCGGCAAAAAGGGAAAGCTTAGTCCGAGGTATATCGGGCCATACGAGGTGTTGGAGCATGTGGGACCCTTAGCATATCGACTAGCTTTACCTCCTAGCCTATCTAGGATTCACGATGTCTTCCATGTAAGCATGCTGAGGGCTTATCGATCT